CTATGATCTAACTTGGTGCCTGTGACCTTGAGCACAGCCCTCCTCCTTTTCAGGCCTCCATTACTTCACCTATAAAATAGCGGGGTTAGATTAGATCAGAGGTCTTTAACCTGGGGGCCCTTGAATTTTTGTTAAACATTTGGATAACAATCTCATTATCTTTGCTTTCCTTTGGAATCCTATGCATTTTACTTTATGAATTTAAAAACATTATTCTGAAAAGGGGTCCATAGGCTTCCTCGGACAGCCCAAGGGGTCCATGACAAAAGAGGTTGAGATCTCCTGTATAATATCTTAAGTCCTTCCTACCTCTAAAAGGATCTGTGAGGTCACTTCTAACTCTGGGCTTCTGTGGTTGATTCTGTGCCTCATTTAGCAATTATTGCCAGACTTTCCCAACCCCAAATCAATCCAAATGCAGTAAAGCTGGTGGCGGAGGGGGCGAGATGAGACAGGCAGCCTCATCAGTGGACAGTGAGTTATTGGCGGAAACCCTGCAGTGGGAGCAGCCAGCATCCTCGCCCCATTTTTTCTTGCCTCACTGGTTCTGCACTGGGCTATTGAAGCCAGAACTATTTCTCAGGCTGGAAAAATTGGGGAAACAAGTTTGGGGGGGAGGATAGATGCCTTCTTCTGCTACGGGGCAGTGACTTAGGGAGAGTGTAGGGAGAGATAGAACCAAAAGGTCTATCTCAGTACATTCATATCAAAAAGTGCCAATGGACTGGGACTTCTTATTGTTCTTGGTCCTTAGTTTCCAAAGAGGACCAATAACATCACAAGAAGGATGTCTAGCCTTGCACGTGAAATGGATTTAAGTGAGGCAGTCATCAAAGTGCAAAGTCATCGCTTCATTCTCTCCTCCAGAGCCATCGGAGTCCAGGGGCAAGATGGAAGTCAAGACTGCTGGTGATGCTAGCTTAGACTTGATGGAGGGGCAGGGGTGTGCTAGTAAATATTTAACAACCAGCTCTCCAAAAAGGCAGGGTGGGCTTTTAGGTTTAATCTGCATCATTAACATTTTCTGCATCATTATCTTAAGGCTTAATCAACAAAACACGAATAAGTCAAGCCCTGATTTGTAGCACTTGCCAATTTCCAAGATGTAAATGCTCACACTGAAAATTTAACAATTGGCTCAGTTTGGCTGCCTAGTAACACACCTCTATGAAGGAGTTTCCTCATTGGCAGCTTCCTATACTCATGAGACCATAGGCTAAGAGGATTACAGATTTAAATCCAGCAGGGATCTTAGAGCCCATGGAGTCTACTTCATTTTATATATGAGAAAACTGAGGTCCAGAGGGTTAGGTGACTTATCTAAGGTCACACAACTAGTAGAAATCTGAGGCAGGATTTAAACCCAGGTCCTCTTGGCTCAAAATTCAGTGCTCTAGTCACTATAGCTCTGCCTAGGTCACAGGTCCTATACAAATCATTACTATAATGAAATAAATATATACAGACCACCCCAGGTTCTGTGTTACAAGTATATTTCTTTAGGGAAGGAAGTAAACACTTATTAAGCACCTACTGTGTTCCAAGCACTGTGCTAAGTACTTTACAGTTGTTATCTTATTTGATCCTCACAACAAAGTAACGTAGGTGCTATTACTATTCCCATTTTACAGTTGAGGAAACTGAGGCAGACAGTTTAAGTGACTTGCCCAGGATCACACTAGTAAGTCTCACACACACTAGTGTCTGAGGCTGGATTTGAACTCAGGTCTTCCTGATTCCAGGTCCAGTGCTCTATGCACTGCACCACCTCGCTGCCTATTTATCCCTTCAAGGCTGCCCTTGCTGTTCCCTAAGAGGTGAGGAAAGAGCTAGAGATGTTTTGTTTGGTAAGAGGAAGATTTGGGGCAGTTGTGATCACTGGATTATTATGGAAGAGGGAATCAATTGTGTGGCTGCCTAGGCAGGAGCCACTATGGTCACAGAAACTCCACGGGATATCAGTGGCAATCTAATGCAACCCATACCTGGGGGAGGAAATGAAAAAGAATTGCCTTGAGTTACAAAGAGCTGTATTTTGGTTCCATAGAAGCTCATCTAACAATCAAAGCTATCCAACAGGGTACGTAAAGAGGGCCTTGATAGGTAGTGAGTTCCTGGCCACTGGAAGCAGTTGGGTAGAGGCTAGATGCCTTTCTGACTAGGCCGTTGTACAGGGAATTCCCATATTGGGTGGAAGGTGGGACTGGTTGGTTTCAAAGGGCACAGAATTTGGGTATCGGAAGGAGCCTTAGCGACCATCTAGGCCAGCCCAAACAACAAAGGAAGCTTCTACAACAGGGGTCATTGGGCCTTTGCTTGAAGGCCTCCTATGAGAGGGATCCTACTTCCCAACCTTCCCAAGCAGCTCCTTCCACTTATGGTTAGCTTTGATTGCTAGGAAGTATTTTCCAACATCAAGTTGGCCTCTTGGCATCTTCCCTTCCATTGTTGCTGGTTCTTGGATGTATATATGTTTTGCTTCCCCAGCTGGAAGGGAGATCTTGGGTCACAACTTTGGATGTGTGTCCTGCAGCTCCCAACAGTGCTGGGCCCATTTACTGGTGCTGAGCAAACACTTGTGACATGGTTGCATAAGCGAATGAATGAGCCAAAGGCTGTGTGCTCCAGTGTTCTGGGTACGGTGGACAGGCTCAGAATTTGAGGGTTGAGAGCAGAAAGGGCTCTTGGAGATCCTCTGGTCCAGCCTTCTCATTTTATAGATGTAGAAACTGTGGCCCAGGGGTGCAGTGGCTGGCCCACAGTCACACTGGAAGTGAGCGGTGAAGCAAGAATGTGGACACAGACGCCCTAACCTCAGTCCTCTCTGGGCTCGTCTGTTTCCCTAGTGCTGTGGGAGCCTTCAGCCAGGTTCGGGGTCATTGGGAAAGGTGGAGGATGGAGAATAGGAAGTGATCTGGGCCTTGAAGGATGAGCAGAATTTGGAAAAGATAAGAACATATGGTAGAAATCAGCAAATAAGCCCACAGTTGGTGGCCGAAATGGGTCAATTGTCTCGCAGCAGCCTTCTCTCAGTCCCTGGTAACTGTCCTCTTGTAATCCCTGGTGGCCCAGGAGCTGCTGCCTCAGCACATACCAAGGAAGTAGCTCAGCCCTCGGGCCCACAGTCTTCACTATTCAGAGTTCAATTTCACATTCCCAGTGACGGAGCTGCTGAAGCAGAAACTAAATATATAGCTTCTCTCTCTCCCTTCCTCCACTCCCTCTCCCTCCCTCCCTCCCTCTCTTCCTCTCCCTCTCCCTCTCTCTCTGTGTCTCTCTCTGTCTCTGTCTCTGTCTCTCTGTCTCTCCCTCTCTCTCTCCCTCTCTCTCTTCTCCCTTTCCTCACTCCTATCTTTAGTGTTCTGAGTCCTTACACCTAACCTATGGGGACTAAGACCCCAAGCCCTCTGTCTCTCTCCTCTGCCTCCATCATCTTTCTCTGTCTGCACAGGACAGGAACCTTGGACCTATGATATTGGTTCTATATGGTACCCCGGGAAGTCTTCTCTCTGTCTCTCTCCATCTGTCCTTCTGCATTATTTAAGTTGTCCCACCCTCTACTTATCCCCTCTTCTCTCTCCCCTACCCCCAGCTTGTCTCCATGGATACTGGGTTTTTGCCCCTTTGATGTCAGAACTTCCCAATGCTTAAAGACTCTGTCTTCTTCTCTTTCCATAATTCAGATACCCTGTAACTTGAATGCTGGGGCTCCCTGTACTTTGAGAGTCTTGTTTCTGTGAAGGCTGGGTCTTCTTCTTTCACTAGGAGTCAGATGCATCAAAGGAACCCCTCATTTTTTTCCCATGGACAAGATAAAAAAGAAATACTCTCAAAAGGAGACCATCCTCTCTCCAGCAAGCCAGGCTGCCCTTGGAGGGCAGGACCTGGGACAGAGAAGGTTCAAGGCTTGGACCATTCCTTCCTTCCACACTTAGAACATGTCTGACCGTTGCAGCTCCTTCTCTCCTAAGAAATGGCTAACAGACCAGAGTCCCCATTTCCTTTCTAGGCACATGTCCTGTTTTTCCCCAGGAGACTCTCTCCAGGGACAACTCACTTAACCACTCTCTCTGGGTCTCAGTTCCCTCCTTTGTAAAATGAAGATATTGGATGAAATCATCTCCAAGGCTCCTTCCAACTCCAAATCCTCCACTTTCCAACCCACCTTTGGCTAGCCAAAAGAGCCAAGTTGGATGAAAGACACTGTAATGAATAGAGATCTAGATTTGGAGTCAGGAAGACCTGGGTTCAAATCCTACCTCTGACTCTTCCTATCTATATGACCTTGGGTTTCTCCTTTGTGAAATGATAGGGTTGGATTAGACGGTATCTGAGGTCCCTTTTAACTCTGTATCTATGACTTAACCTCTAAGATAAGGGTTCTTCACCTTTTTTGAGTCATGGACCCTCTTAGTAGTCTCATGAAGCCTAGGGATCCCTTCTCAGAGTCATATGTTTTGCCTACATTCATAGAAAGAAATATTAAATTTCAATTAGATTACTGAAAATAAAGATGTAATTTTCCTCCTCTCCAAGTGCATGGACCCCTGAAATCTATCCCCAGGTTAAGAACCCCTTCTCTATCGCCACTCTATCTATGAAATAAAAGGACTGGCTTTGCAATTGGAGAATATGGGTTCAAATCTCACCTCAGACGCTCACTACCTGAGTGATCTGGGGCAAGTAATTCTTGGAGTTTCTGTTTCCTCATCTGTAAAATGAAGAGACTGGACCAGATGGCCCTAAAGTCCCTTCATGCTTGAGATTTGTGATCCTCTAATCTGAATTTCTTTATTCTATAAAAACCACAGGGCCTTTTATATTCCCATGTAGAATGAGGAGGCTGATTGTAGTGACCTCTGAAGTCCCATCCAGCTGTTAAGACAATGACTTTGGGTACCATATTTGATCTAGGAATCTCTCTGAAGACTCAGCCCTTAAGTGTGTGATGGGACCTGAGACTCATCATTTGAGGCCACCATCTTCTGGTTGCTTTATAGGTTGCATGCCCGGTACTACGAGCTCGCGCCCAACATCGTGCCCATGGACTACCGAAAGAACCCTATCGTCACCGTGCCCATGTCGGTCATCATACAAATGCCGGAGTTCAAGGTACTCTTACGGACTTCTTCGGGAGAGGGCATAAAGAAAATCTTTGAGCTCTCCCAGGCTAGCCCATGAGGAGGGGCTGTAGAGAGCTATGGTGCTGTCTCATTGATTTGTCTCATTCATCCACATGAAGACTATGTTTTAGCCAAATTGGACGACTGGTCATTCCTTGAACACAGTATTCCATCTCCTGTATCTGTGCATTTGAATAAGCCCTTTCAAGTGCCTGGAAGGCATTCCTTCGTTTCTGCCTCTCAGGATCCTCGTCTTCCTTCACAACTTAGCTTAGGTGCTGTGAAGCTTCCGTGAAGACCACTACTCCTCCCTTTCCCTCCTCCCTCAATATTCATTCTGTTATGCTTACTTATAAACATGGTGTGTATTACCACCAATCTCAGTTTGGCTTTGGCGGGGTCTGGTTCATTTTTGTCTTTGTATCTCAGGTACCCAGCACAGTGCTTTGCACACAGTAGGTACTTAATAAATGTTTTGTTGAATTGAATTGGTTCTCTCCTCTCCCTCCTGCCTCTCTTTGTCTTTCTTCCTTTATCATCTAGTAGGGGAGATGACATATATTGATACAGTTATCCTAAGGGATAGAATTGTTAGGAAGAGCTTCCTTATGTGAACTGAAAACGTTATCAGTGAGATAGAAGGTGCCAAAGGACATGGGTTCAAATCGTGGGATCCCAGGCAAGTCATCTGATGCCTCTGAGACACTGTTTCCTCCTCTGTAAAGTTCCTTTCAAGCCTATGATCTTGTGATCCTAATGAAAAGATCTCTGTTTGTGTATATGTCAGCCAGATACCCAAATAAGCATAATACAAGGTAGAAGGGCAGAGTGTCACAGCAAGCAGTGAGTAAAGAGCTGGGGGAGGAGGTGGTCCAAGCCAGGAGCAGATGTGGAGGCTGAGGCCAGAAGGGGTAGCATCATCTAGCCGAGGCCACATGGCTAGTTGATGGCTACGCCAAGACTAAAATCCCAGCTCTTCTGCCTTTCAGTCTAGGACTTTTCCTGCTACGGAGGCAGGTTTCAGACAGAAAAAAGAGCCTCCTAACAATCAGAGTTTTATATATAAATATATATTACATAGGAGCAAAGCAGAATTGCAGTAGCTCAAAAGAAATGTGAGATGTGCAGATTTAGAGATATCTCTTCTCTAAATGTTCCTATGGACTACTTGTGCCTGATCTGTGGTAGAGCCTTTCAAGCTGATATTGGTCTGAATTAGCCGCAGTCAGACACACTGTACCTTGACCCCAATATAGTGATGGCATTGTGGTCCTCTTTGAGCATGAAGGACAACAACCAATCAACCATCTATCTACATTATATACGCATGCAAGTATATATACATATGCATATATCAAACATTTATGTACATGTGTGTTTATTTATGTTATATGTACATGTCTATATTTATACACACACACACACACACATATAATTTTTTTTACCAGACTTGTGATTTCACCCATCCAAGGGTCTCCTGGTTAAGAGCTCCTTCTTCCCAGGCAGCTCTCCACCTGCACAAGTCTAAAGTTAAGTGACTTGTCCAGGGTCACACAGCCAGTATTTGAACCCAGGTCTTTCTGACTCTGAGGCCAACCTGCCTTCTCTCTGTATGTATATGTACACATACATGTACTCACAAATACATGTACACAAAGGACCAAGCGATAGAAAGAGAAAGCTAGACCTACACCGACATGGCAAGCAAAAGAAATATATTTTAAGAGGTGGGAGAGGGGAGAGAGAGAGAGAGAAACAGAGAGACAGAAAGACAGAGACAGACAGAGAAAGAGGAGGGAAGGAGAGATACAGAGAGAGAGAGGTGGTAAGTTCTAAGTGAGTGTGTTTATGTTCCTACTCACTCTTTCTGATTTTCACAGGAGAATCCCTTCAAGGAGAGAATTGTGGCATCTTTCTCCGAGGATGGTGAGGGGAATCTCACCTTCAATGACTTTGTGGACATGTTCTCAGTCCTCTGTGAGTCGGCGCCCAGGGAACTCAAAGCGAGCTATGCCTTTAAGATCTATGGTAAGTAGTGCCCAGCTTGTCACCACCGGCATCCAAGGCAGCTGGAATCCAGCGTGGTGAGGGAGTGGTTCCTCACATAGGGCCTTACCTTGGAGATTCCTGTGCTAAGCATTCTGGGCTAGGAAGGAGACATGCTGTCACTGAGCCTCTTGTTATGTAAGCTCCAGTTTCAGTTAATCAATTAAATAGAACCAATCATCCAATCCTCAAGCATTTATTAAACACCTCCAGTATGCTTGGCACCATGTGAAGTGCTGAAGCTACAGAGACAAAATCCCAAGAGTCTATCTCTTCAAAACACAAAGACAAGGTGATAGGGGATGGGCTAGGCTGGGCTGGAGGGGCTCACTTGAGATGAACTTTGAAGGAAAAGGAGGATTTTGATGAGGAAGGAGCACATTCTGGCATCCCTAGGCACAAGAAATGATTTGTCTGAGGTTAAACAAACGTTAGCAAGAGGGTGGCCTTAATAAAAAAGGGAAAGTGAGGGGTGATCCCTTACATCACCCAATGCGGGCACACTTGACTCCACACTGTCTGTTTTTCAGAAAGAAATATCTTGGTTGTGATGGGTTTAGGGAAAGGGCGTACCTTCCCTATTGCCTAATCTCTCTCTCTCTCTCTCTCTCTCTCTCTCTCTCTCCCCCCCCCCTCTCTCCCCTCCCCCCACCTCTCGTTAGAGTGGTAGTTGGTAGCACGAAGAGACCAAGGTATTGGAGTCTCATTCTATGATCTTGTCTTCTGCCACAACCAAGATGTAATATTTTTGAAGTCCCATGACCCAACCCAGTCTGATCAGCCTGCCTGTATTGATGGCTCTGGGAGCTGCATGCATTGTTCCATTTACCCACTAGAGGGTGACATGTATACCAAATGCTTACAATGTTGGAAAAATCACTTGGGAGAGTAATAGACTGTCAGAAGTGGGAAGGACCTTAGAGCAGAAAATGTTGGAGATGGGAAGGACCTTAGAACTTGGAACGTCAGAGGTGTGAAGGACCTTAAATATGGAATATCAGAGGTGGGAGGGACCTTAGAACATGGGATGTCTGAATTGTGAGGGACCTTAGAACATGGAATGTCAGGACTGGGAAGGACCTTACAACGTAGAATATGAGAAGTGGGAGGGATCTGAGAACATGGGATGTGAGCACTGGGAGGGACCTGAGAACATGGAATATCAGAAGTGAGAAGGCAGAGGTGGGAGGGAAAGGTAGGTAATGTAAATTTTCTTCTACTCATCTTAAAGATAAGGAAACAAGGCTTAGGGAGACTACTCGACTTGCCCATAGTTGCCCAGCTAACAGAAAAGAGTGCAGACTAGATGCCAGGTGTCCTGCCTCTAAATCTAGGGCTCTTTACATAGGTGCAATTCAGTGACATCATCCCAGAATCATTTCCGAAGCCAGAAGTCAACGCAGCTTTCTGCAATGGACAGTCCAGTTAGCTGGACTTCTAGATTCATAGACTGTTAGAGCTAGAAGGGACCAAGTGCCATCTTCCTGCTTACCACTCCTCTTCCCTACATTATTACAGAAAAAGAAACTGAGGCCTGGAGAGACAAAATTATTTATCCAAGGTTATATCCAGGAAGTGAACCAGAAGTAGAGCATATACAGGTCTTTTGGAATGCAGGCCAATGTTTTTTCAAACATCCCATGGCGTATTTTCTTAGATAATAGAACCTGTCTCTAATCTTTCTTCAGGACCTAGAGTCCTTAAAGATTACACTAAGGCCATAACAAAAGTGATGATGCTTCAGGAATCCAAGGATCAAAACTTTCAAAATCACAATGAAAGGCCTCAGAGACTTCCATTTTGATGATGATGATGATAATGATGATGAGACTGGTCCTCTCTGTCCTTCCCTGAGTAGACTTCAACAATGACAACTTCATCTGCAAGAAAGACCTGGAGCTGACCCTAGCCCGGCTGACCAAGTCAGAACTGGAGGAGGAAGAGGTGGTGCTCGTGTGTGATAAGGTCATTGAGGAGGCTGATTTGGATGGAGATGGAAAACTCAGCTATGCAGACTTTGAAGACATGATTGCTAAGTCCCCTGACTTTCTGAGGTATGGGACAGCCTTTGGGATTCAAACTCAGGTCTCTCCTGACTCCAAGTGCCCTTTCCACAATGCCTCTCTGTCTTTTGGTCTCTGGAGATTCAGATTTTTCTCCTCCTTAGCCTCAGTCTTGCTGCTCACATAGACCTAAGCTTGGAGCTGAACTGTGTCTCCCCTTTGGGAAGCCAGCTTGAAGTCCGGTGTCCAATGTCCACTGAGCCACTCAGAGCTCAAGTGTTGAAATAAGTAATCTTTTTTACTAAGAACATTTTCCAGTGCCCCCAGGTAGATGCAGTTCCTTAGGAAGTTAAAAGCTGTCAGGAAGGAGGTTCCCTGGAATCTCAGGAGCTTGCTGCAAAACCACTGAGAATCGTGCTTTCATATTCTTCTTGCCCAAAGGGCAAGGGTTAGGACCAGATCAATCAACCTGGATTGAAACAGGATGATATTAACTAAGGACTTAGCCCAGAGGTCAAATTAGATAATACTTGTAAAGTGTGTAGCACATTGCCTGACACAATATAGGTGTTTAATACATGTTTATTCCATCCATCCATTCCAGACTGAAATGTTTTCAGTAGCTTTAGCAAGGGAACTCAAGCAGGATGAGCTCTAGTGGACAACAGATAGTGAAAAACCAATTCCAGAAGAGGCCTGTCCACTCCTGCCTCCTTGGCCCAGTCTCCTCCTCCGGATACCTACAAGTAAATAGCTGGTGGTTTCCTTTCTGATAAGCAGTGCCATGGCTTCCTCTGACACCTGTGGTCTGGCTGCTGAGGGGATCTGCGTTCTATTCCTTGTTCTAATAATCACATCTGTTTAACACTTTATAGAGCTCTTTACATGAGTTGGCCCATCTGATGCCCTTAGCAATCCTGTGAGGTCAGTGTGACTGTTATCCCCATTTCACAGAGGTGCAAGTAGAGGCTTAGAGGGTTTGGTTAAGTAGCCTTTAAAGAGAGGACCAGGGGCAGCTAGGTGGCGCAGTGGATAGAGCACCGGCTCTGACGTCAGGAGGACCTGAGTTCAATCCAGCCTTAGACCAAACACTTGACACTTACTAGCTGTGTGACCCTGGGCAAGTCACTTAACCACAATTGCCTAAAAAAACCAAAATGAAAAAACAAAAAAAAAAAAAAAAAAAGAGAGAGGACCAAAAGTAACTCAGTGAGTCAGCTTTAGAGTTGGGTTCAAACCCAGGGCTCCAGACTCCTAAGTCTTCCTACTGTATGTACTTCAACTACCTCACCACTGATGCCCAGTGTGACCTCTGTAAAATGTGGGAGTCAAGACTAGAAGATGACTTAGGACCCTTCTAGTTCTCCTATGCTATGATTATATAATTAAGCTAACATTTTCTTTTTTTGTTTTGTTCTGTTTTATTATTTTTGCTAGGCAACAGGGTTAAGTGACTTGCCCGGGGTCACACAGCTAGTAAGTGTCAAGTGTCTAAGGCCAGATTTGAACTCAGGTCCTCCTGACTCCAGGGCCAGTGCTCTATCCACTGTGCCACCTAGCTACCCCTAAGCTAACATTTTCTTACCCTCTGATTATGGCCATTTACCCCAAAGGGTCCTCTGAGCCTCCCCCACCCTCTCCCTGGTCCTACTCTTTCCCTCTGACATCTATCTGTTTCTCCACAGCACTTTTCACATTCGGATCTGAAGCTACCCAGAAGATCCCAGAGATGACATCAGCTCAGCCCAGGCACCCCCAAGAAGCCCCCAGGACCCTCCTTTCAGAGAGAAGGGTTTTTCCAGGCTTGTATCATCAGCAGAAGCTGTGGCTTCCTGATTTTATACATGTGAAAATATATTATGGCCCTATCAGCAAAAAACAAAAACAAGAAACACAAACCCATTAGAAAAGTAACAATAACCAACTCAGCTCCCAGGAGGCTCTCATCTGTCTCCCATGTGCTCGCAAGATCTCATGCTCTCACAGCTTTCTCCCCGATACGGAAAATACTCTCAGCCAGCCAGAGTGCTGGGACTGGTAATGATCTCTGGCCAGTTTGCATGGCATGGAATCTGTCCATCTGCCTGTCTGGAGGGGGTCACAGGCAGGGGACCATATTTTGATTCCTGGCCTAAGGTTTGCCAATCCATTGGCTCTGCAGTGGAGGCCAAGCTGGGTCTAAATCTGTTCTGCCTTGGGAAATGAGGCTTCAGACATGATGACAGCTGTACCTTTTACTTCCCGAACCTCCTTAAAGAACTAAGAAGAGGAAAAGGGAAAAAAACATCCTTAAAAAAAAAAGGGAGCTTCACTCAGTTGAAAGTTGGCAAGATTTCTGAGAAGCATGGGAGGGATCACAAAAGGAAAAAAAAAGGGATGAGGTTTTGAATCAGCTATGCAATCTTTCTCATTGAATGCCTGTATTCAGCTCTGCCTTTCTCCCTTTTCCACCAGACACTGTCACCCCATCTCCGGGCCTGGCCTGGGACCCCCTGCCGCTAGCCTCTGGCAGTCAAAGGAAGGGCTGTCACTCTTAATTTCATCCCTCTTTTCCCCACTAAACATTCTGCCTGATTTGACCAGGGCTAAAGAGTATGTGGACTTTGGCTCTATTATTCATTCATTCACTCATTCAGGCAATCAGCAAGTCCCTACTAAGTACCTACATTGGGTTAGGTACTGGGTAGGGATAAAAGGACAAAACAGGAGTTTACAGTCTATTTGGGAAGACAGCCTGTGTGTGTATATAAATACATAAAAATAAATATTGAAATATCTTGGGGAGAAGGCCCTAGCATTTAGGGGAATTCAAAAACAAAAGGTCATGTCTGAGCTGAGCTTTGAAGAAATCTAGAGATTCTAAGAGGCAGGGAGTATGTTCCAGGCCTGTACAAAGGCCGAGTGATGGGAGATGAGGTATCATGGATAAAGAACCAGTTTGGCCAGACTGTAGATTTCACAAAGGGAGGTGGTGGTAGTAATAGACGATAAGACAGGAAAAGTAGGGTGAAGTTAGGGTGCCAAAAAAAGTTGATAATTGATCCTGGAAGCAATAGGTAGCCATTTGGGGTTTGCTGAATACAGAAGTGGTATATCCTGACCTGAACATTAGGAAAATTGTGTTGGCAGCTGTGTGCATGGTAGATTGCAGTGGGGAAAGACTTAAGTCAAGGGCACCAATTTGGAAGCAATTGTAATAATCAAGAAGTGAGAAGAACTTGAATTAAGTTGGAGGCTATTTGAAGGAGAGAAAGGGATGGATGGGAGGATATGGAGGGAGAATTGGCCAGACTTGGCAACTGATTGGATGAGAAGGTAGGGGAGAGAGGAATTGTGGATGAATCTAAGGTTTCAGACCTGGGAGGCTGGAAGGATGATAGTAGTGAGAAAGATGATTTCCATTTTGGATTTGTTGAGTTTAAAATGCCTACAGAACATTCTCATGGAAATGTCCAATAAGCAGTTGGTTATTTGACAAACATTATATATCTACTGTGTGCCTAGGAGCTGAACCCATGGGGAGATGAAAAGTGTAGGAAGCTATTTCTTGCATGGTATTATTTGAGAAAATCCACCATCAAAGGCTCATTCCTTTGGTTTAAGTATCACCCTCTCCATGTTCTTCCTTAAAAAATGCAAACTCCACCACCCACCCCAGAAGTGGAAATTTACTTAGTCCTCTGAACCAGATGTATATGGAATGTCTTTACTAGATTGTAAGCACCTTGACATCAGGAAACAAGTCAATCGATCAATCATAAACATTTATTAGGTGTCTGCTATGTGGCAGGCACTGTGCTAAGAGCTGGGGATACAAAAAATGGCAAAAAAACAGTCCCTGTCCTCAAGGAGCTTACAATCTAAAGGAGAAGATGACATGTAAACAAAGATATGTAATACAAGCTTTATGCAGGATAAATCAGAAATAATTTATAGACAAAGGCCCTAGAATTAAGAGGGATTGAGGGAGGCTTTCTGTAGAAGGTATGATTTTATTTGGGACTTAAAGGAAGCCGGGGTGGGGGGGGATCATGTTTTGATATCTTTGTCTCTATTTCTTTCTTCCCCCTCAAGTATCTAACAGTGGGTGCTCTGGAGGCACTTAAGAAATTTTTGATGATGAATCAGTAGAGATTTACTGAACATTGGCTCAGCCCTCAAGTAAAGGCTAAGTCAATTGGAGGGCCATTCAGTGACACTCTGACCCCTGTCATTGCTACTATTTCTCTGTAATGGATATGATATGATCCCCTGGCTCAGGTGGCAGGGGTTGGAGATATCTAAGGAGGAGGAATGAATCTGACCAAGAGGGCTTTAAATGAAAATAAAAGAATAAATAACCCACCTTGGGTGTTCAGCCAAGAGAAGAAATGACTGGGGGTGGTGGAGGTGGGAGACAGGATGATGCCTGCTTTAATTCTCCATTCTTCCCGTATTTCTATAAATGAAGGCTCACCCTAGGAGCAAATCAAATCCCCTGAGGATCTCTACCCAGTTCTCTATAGATTGCCCAGGGAACAACGCCAACATACCTCCACAAACACACATACAGACTCTCTCAGATTCAGGGTATTGTCCCTCTCCAGTCACAACCATCAAGTACTTAGGATCCATGCTACTGTGAGGGGGGTGGGCACGTTCCTTTGTGTTTGCACCATTTTGCCTCTGTGCCCCTTTACCTTTCTGCAGAAAGGAGGTAAAGTTTTTCAATATCTGTTCTCTAGGGCCTTTATTGGACATTATTGCACTCAATTCAAGGGAAGAAGACATCCCTGTGAGCTGAAGTCATCAAGAGGGATTTCATGGAGAACTTTGGACTTGGACTGAGCTTTGAGGACCAAGTCAGTGGGCCAGGGCCATCCCCTTCTTATCATGGAGCGAGGAGAGGGAGAGCATGAAGCAGCCACTGGCCGCCTGATTGACGAGGTTCAGGTCAATACCACAAACTTTATTAAGCAACTGCGAAGTGCCAGGTGCTGTCCTAAGTGCTGAAGACACAAAGACAGAGGTGAAATAACCCTGGCCTTCGAGGAGCTTCTATTCTACTACCTAGTGGTTTCCAAGACCCGTAGTTGGCTGGAGTCCAGCCGCCTGAGGCTCCCTGGTCTGCACTAAGCCCTGGGGCCCAAAGCTCTCAGTCTGAAATGCTTCAGGGGCTCCTAAGGGCACTCTTCAGACAGCCCACATGCAGTGACACTGAAGGGGTATATTATTTAGAAGGGAAAGCTGTCTTCCGTCAGTGTCCAGAGAAGAAGGTTCTCTGTCATTGTAGGCTGCCAAAACTGTGATGGGAACTTACAATCCTATAGCACATAAAATTTACAAAGTACTTTTCTGTTATCAACCCTATTGGAGGGTGAGGGACAGGGGTGGAGTGTTGGCTAGCTAACTTGCCCGGAGTCACATAGGCTAATAGATGTCAGAGCTGGGGCACCAAGTCAGACTCACTGATTGCAAATGCAGGGATTCCTAAAGAGAATGTTTTAGCAAATCTCATTTTATCAATGTCTGCCTCGTGAATTTCTAGGAGCGGACAAATTTTAAATGGAACAGCTTTCTTTTGGGTGCTCCCCAGCATGTATCTTCCTCTTCAACCCCCACATAACAAATATGTGCTTTGAGGATTCAAATTCATATTAACAAAGCCCTTAGGCTGGGAGTGGGGGGGGGGGAGAGAACAACCACCGTATATTTTTTCCTGATCATTTGCCATTTTGCATTTTCTATATGACATTCTTCAGTTCAATAGAGAACTGAATTGTTACATTGTCAGAATTGAAATTGTAATTAAAACAGTCTTCCTGCTTCTTTCTGGAGAGGTGGTGGGCTGTGGGTGCCCAATGAGGCATATATTGTTAGAAACGTATTGTTTTGCTTAAGTGTAGATTTTGTTAAGAAGGGAGAGTTCTGTTGAGGAGAAAAGTGACAGGAATGTATACATTTATGTATTTTGAAGAATGGTGGTAGAACATTTCTTTAAAACTGGGCTAACTTTTTTTTTACTATCTCTTTGCTATCAAGTGGGATATTTGTAAAGCACTTAGCACAGTGCCAGGCATACAGTAAGTACTTAAAAAATGCTTATTCTCTGCCTTCCTTCTTCTCTTACTGGCCCCCTGACACACAGTAGGGCTGCTGGTGAGACAGGAATCAGGAAGAAATGAGTCAAGGTATTGAAGTGGAGGAATCACTGGCCTGGGAGGCAGGAGGCGGGCATTCTGAGCTCTGCCATGGCCTTGCTGTTTGACCCTGAGCAAGCTGCTTCCCTTCTCTGGGCCTTAGTTCCTTCATCTGTAAAATAAAGCAGTTGGACTGAGTGACCTCTGGGGGCCCATCAAGCGCTGACATTCTAAGATTCTCTGACCTTATATATATTCATTTCATTTTTTATTTTATTTTTTTTATTTTTAGTCAATTGGGGTTAAGTGACTTGCCCAGGGTCACACAGCTAGTAAGTGTCAAGTGTTTGGTCCAAGGTGGAATTTGAACTCGGGTCCTCCTGACTCCAAGGCCGGTGAGCTCTATCCACCGTGGCACCTAACTGCCCCATACATTCATTTCTCCTACAAAGGCCAAGGACTCAGGCTTAGTTCCCTCCCTCAGGTTTTACTTTGAGGCTCCTGGATTCAGTTTTTGTGTCCAAGCTGAGCCGGTGGAGTCTGGGAAAGCAGAGCTTTCCAGTTGACTGGACTGTGGAGTGTGGATCTGGGGCTCCTGGGCAGCTGTTGGCTGCCTGGGGAGCCTTCCTCAAACCCTAGGCTTCTCTCCTCTGGCCTCTTTGCTGCTGAAGCAGCCAGCAGGCCCTGGTGTCACTGTTTATTCTTCCGGTCCATGAAGAAGAACCTTCGGTGTTTTTCATCCTGGAAGGTGGAGAAGAGGAAAAATGGAGTGAACCTGGGGTGGGGAGAAGAGAGGAGGGGATGGGGGCATCAATAATCACAACTGCTATGCTTCAAATAGTTAGAGACTCTTGGGAAGTCAGAGCTGAAAGGGACCTTAATTATCAGTGAATCAACAAGGATTTATCAAATGCCTACTATGTGCCAGGCACTCGTGATAGGACCACATCATGTCAGATCCCCTCATGCTCCAAATGGGGAAACAAATCCAGAAAGGACACGGGGTCATGCAACAAGTCAGTGGTAGAGGGAACGTCTAGGCCTTAACACCATCTGTCCCCCATGCCTCCCTCTTTCCCTTGGCCTCCTGGCGTCCTTCCAGATTCAGTTGGAATCCCACCATCTGTAGGAGGCCTTTCCCAGGATCCCACCCCACCTCCACTCCACTGCCATGCCTCCTCTCTGAGGTGTCTTCCATCTCACCCATGTACATCTTCTATGTTCATAATTACTTGTATGTTGTCCCCCTCACATTAGACTGTGAGCTTCTTGAGAGCAGAGCCTGTGTCTTTGCTTTTCCCTGTGTCATCAGCACTTAGCCTAGTGCCTGGCACATAGTAGGTGCTTAATAAGTGTTTGATGACTGACTGCCCAACTTTAGATGCTCACATTAGGAACTGTCAAGTTTTAAGTAGCTGAAAGGGCACCAGACATTCTATGGTATCTCAGAGGGCAGAGCTAGGACTGATGTAAGAAATTTATAGGAAACCAGATTTCAGCTCAGCATAATGAACGATTTTCTAATCATCAGAACTGTCCAACACTGGAATGGGTTGCCTTAGGAAAAAGCAACCTTTCTATTACTATAACTGTTCAAGCAGAGAAAAATGAGCTCCCATCGGAGAGGTTATTCCTAAGATTGCAGGCTGGGTGGGAGATTAGACTAGGTATTGTCTAGGGTCCCTTTCTGCCCCCAAAGATCAGTTATATAAACCACCAGGTGCACGAAGCTGGGCAAAGACAAACATTTCCTCATTCACAGTTCTGCTAAGGGCCAGGACTGAGGCAAGTTTTCCTTGAAGGAGTATAGTGGACAGCACAATGAATTTGGATCTGGGTTCAAGTTCTGTTTCTGATGCTTAGGATCATAGATTGAAGGCTGGAAGGTACCGTAGAAATTATATAGTCCATCTTACAGAAATGAATGTTGTAAACTATCTTTACATGTAATTGAAAAAAAAATACTATTAGGTTAAAAAAAAAAGAAAGAAATTATATAGTCCAACCTCAAACCCCCACCCCCAACCATGTGGCCTTGGAGAGGAGGTTAAGTGCCTTACACTCTCGTAGTCCTTAGCTCCCTCGTCTGTAAAATGAAGGGTTGGATGAAGGGTCCCCCCTTTTAGCTCTAAATCTATGATCTGAAAGGCAATGATTCACATCTTAGAAGTCTCATAAAGTTCTTCCCTCACAGTAGTGCAGCATTATTTTGCCCATTTAATAGATAAGGAAATGGAGACTCTGGGAATTGGAATGACTAGCCCAGGATCAATGGGATAAGTGTTCAGGTCCCTTGGGAGGCACTGTACCTTGTGTGAGTGTGACTGTTTGGTCTCCCGGACCTTCAAGATGGGGATCTGCTCGTAGGGGTTACTTGGCGAGGAAGGTATGGGCACTGCCTGGCTTCCTGGAACCTTCTCATAAGCATTATCCATCCAGCCTCCACAGCCCTCCAGCTGATTATAGGTGGATTTGAGTGGGAGAAAGGCTGACTTGGGCAACCTAGGAGGGACAGGCTCGTAGTCATGGCTTCCTGAGGCCTGGGCCTGATCTTCCAGAGAGTAGGAGCTGTTCGCCTTTGGCATGAGTTCATGGGTGCCTGGAGGGCTGGAGTCTCTGCGCTTATTGGGCCCCAAGCCTCTGGAGGACTGAGGAACAGTGTGGCTGGTGAGTCCCTGGCTGCTTCCTCTGGATTCAGGGGAGCACCAGGCCTTGAGAGAAGCCTGATGATGTGGGGTGCTTGCCTTATCCCCAGGGGAAGTGGAGATGGGCACAGGGGAGCTGTGCTCCCACACGGGGCGACGGGGGACAGTGGGAGATTTCTTGATGGGATACAAGTTTACCCCCAGAAGCTTGGTGGCACTTGGAGCAGTGAGGAGGGGGGCGTCCCTGGGTTTCAGAGCCAATACTTCTGCACTTAGATTGCCAGGCCGTCTCTGGCGCTCTTGGCCAGGGGAAGGGCTCTGATGTGGAATGTCTGAGGCCTCCATGCTCAGGCTCTGCTGGTGGTGATTCATCTTCTTCAGCTCTGCATATATGACGTTTCCCGAGTACCTGCTACTGAAGGACTCCATCAGAAGGGAGGAACTTTTCTCAGGCAGAGGAAACACTTTTACTGTGAGCTGAAGGAGAAGAGAGGCAAAAGCAAAACACACTTAAAACCCACATATCAACTCATGGTGAAAATCTCCTCGATCTTGGAGACGTCCATTCAAACTGATAAAATGTAAGCTCCGGGAGAGCAGGGACTGTTTTACTTTTTATCTATGCATGCCCAACGCCTAACACCGGGCCTGGAAGTAGGCACTTCAAGAAGCCACATGTTACCTAAATCCTTAAGTGCGGTCTTTGGACTGAATCCTTTTAGAGTTTGTTCCGTAAAATTTGGGTTCAATCAAAAGGCCATACTTAAGGCCCTAGAAGGCCACCTGTGGTCTGAAGGCCACAGGTTCCCCACCCCTGGACTAGATTACCACCCCCGTGTGACCTCCAGCAAGGTTCTTCCCCGCTCACCTCAGTTTTCCCATTTGTAAAATGAGGTGAGGCGGCTGGCCTAGATCAGGAGTTCTTAACCTTTTGTGGGCTCTGAACCGTTCTGGCAGTCTGGGTAAAGCCTAGAGAAAGGACTCCTTCTCAGAACAATGTTTTTAAGTGAATGATATAAATTACAAAGGTGAGTGAAGGTAAACGTCATTTTTTTCCTTCTAATTTCATGGATCCTCTGAAATCTCTCCCGGACCCCTTGTCTGTGGACAGTAAGTTAGGAATCTGAGACCTGGAGGGTGTGGAAGGTCCTTCCCAGCTTTAGAATTCCATGGTCCTGTGATCCTAAGTTCAACGTCACATTCTGGCTTTCCACTCCACAATCTGACTCAGTGCTACCTAAGTGTTCTTCTCTCCAGATCCTAACTCTGGGCTTGGCACATAGTAGGGACTCAATTACTACTCACTGATTGATTAATCATACTCCTGAAAGTACAACTTCTAATCCTGAAGTGGATGTAAAGCAGGGGAAGACCTCGTTTCTATTGACAGAAAGGAGAGGAGGATGGTCCTTAGCCTGCCCAAGAAAGGAAAGCACTCCTGGGGCAGAAATTTTATAGAAAGAGTCTTGGGCTGAGAGACCAAGCAGGTTTCTAGTCCTGGTTCTGCTGTGTAAATTTAAACAAATAGCTTAACCTCTCTGGGCCTCCATTTTCTCTTCAGAAAATGAGAGGGTTGGGCTAGATAATCTTTCTAAATGATGGTTTCATTTGATTCTTCCACTTTCCTGTGGGTAACAACTGAGAATTTAGAGGCGGAAAGGGATTGTTGAGACCATCTAGCCTAACCTCCCCATCATACAGAAGAGGAAATGCAAGCCTGGAGAGATTAAATCACACAGCTAATAAGTGACAGAACCATGATTAAAAGCCTGGCCTCCTGACTCCCATTCCGGGGCTCTACCCATCATACCACACTGCCTCTCCTTGAGGGAATACGTACGTCATTGTCCTCTTCTGACAGCTTCCAAGGACGTTCTTCCAGGGATTTTTTGGAGTGGACAAAGGAAGTCTTGGGCTTTGGAGAGGGGCTGTCTTCAGCAGATCTCGGGTGTTCTGAGTCCTCCAATTCTTGCTTCTCCTTGGAGGGACCAGTTGCCTTGGATGGGGGGACCAGCAGGAGGTTCAGAGAGATGGCGTCGTACAAGCTGGTCTCCTCGGGCTGTGGCAGGGGGAAGGACAACACTTCTGAGCACCCCTCGATCCAGCCCAGAGTTGGACTAGAGGCTATGGGAAGAGTAGGAAGATCTTCCCGGGTGGAGGGGGATGAGCTCTGGTCACCAAAGGATCTTGGTTCTGTCACCTACCAGCTTTTTGGCCACTGGCTGCCACAGTGGAGAGTGCTGGAGTGATGTTTGGAAGATCTGAGTTCAAATCTTGCCTCAGATATTTGCCAGCTGCATTAACTTCTCATCAGTTTCCTCATCTGTAAATTGGGAATCACAACGGCACCCACTTCTCAGGGTCGCTGTGAGGTCCCAACAAGATGTAAAGTGCTTTGGAAACAATAGAAAAGCTAGCTATTATTATTTTTTGTCCGAATCAAGTTGCTTAATTTCCCTGGGCCTCAGTTTTCACATCTGTCGATGGGGATAACAGTACTTGGCCCTTTTTTTTAATCTCATAGTACTGTTGTTAGACTAAGATGTGATAATAGAGGAAAAATTAATAATAATAACAATAATAATATCTTCTGCATGTATGTGAGGCGAAAGACTGCATAAATGATGTCAAAAATTAATAAATGCTTGTTTTTGAAATGCTACTCGATCCTCAAAACAGCTCCCTAAGATAGATAGAATTATTTTCCCCATTCAACAGATAAGGACATTGAGATTTAACTATCGCAGCTGGTCAGTTGCAGGCTCAGAACTCAGATCTGACTTATCTTTCCCTTCTACTACTTTCCACTACTCTGCTCCAGAACTTTTTGGTGTGTATAGACATGCTGAGTTATTGTAACATCTGCCCATGAGACCTGAGGAGGGGGAGGGATCGTTGGGGGAAGGGAGCCTCTAGTAATGGACCAGGGGTGGTCTTCCCACCCTCTGACTCAGTCCTCCTGCAGGGGAAGGGGGAGTGTTCTGGAAGGATTTGAGCAATAACCCCCGGGGCTTCCAGTTGCCCTGACCCTGCGATTCAAAGTCTCCCACACTTGGGCTTGAGCCTTCTGTTTGACCTTCTTCCCCAATTCTCCCTTCCTGTACCCCCCTACATTCCAGCCAAACTGGTTTGTATTCCCATTCTCATGCCATGCTTTCCCACTTCCGTAACCTTGCTCATGCTGTCTCCTTGTGTCGTGCTCCAGGATCCCCCGTCTCCTGGAAGAGATGTCCCTCCTTCTGGCCCAGGTGAAATCCCTCCCTTCCTTCAAGGTCCAACTCAGATCTGCTCCCCAAGACCCACCCTTCCCTGTCCCCTACCCCAGCTATATTTCATCTCCCCTTCTGTGTTTATCTCATTCCTCCTAGCATTCCAGTGACTTAGATCCATGTCTTCTCTCCCTGATTATTCTCTGAGCTCCCTGAGGGCAGGACCTATGCCTCAGCCACCCTTGTACCCTCACAGCATCTATCTCAGGACACTGCCCACCACGGACACTTAGTACATGTCTGACGCATTGGATGTGAGACTCAGCATACCCGAGGGCAGGCGGTGGTGAGGCTCTCCCCAAAGGGCTCTATTGTCACTCCCTGGTAGTAGCTGATGAGGGCGGTGAGCGTGGGGTGGTTGCAGATGTCTCCAGAGATGACGTACCTCCGGTTCTGAAGCTGACTGATCACAAAGTGGCGGCAACGGTCGTACCCCCTGAAAAGCGACAGGTCACAGAATCTCAGGGTCAGAGGATCTACAGCCAGAGGAAACCTTAGAAATACTCAGGCATTCATTTTATTCATTTACTCATCAAGCATTGATTAAGTACCAAGGATGTGCTAGGCATTGTGCTATGGGCTCGTGATACAAGAACAAAAATGAAAGTCCCCGCCCTCTAGCTGCTTATGTTCTCCTGGAGAAAGACAACCCAACTGGGGATAAGTAAATAACAGTTATGTTTTTGTTTTTTTTTTAGTGAGGCAATAGGGGTTAAGTGACTTGCCCAAGGTCACACAGCTAGTAAGTGTCAAATGTTTGGTCTGAGGCTGGATTTGAACTCAGGTCCTCCTGACTTCAGGGCCGGTGCTCTATCCACTGTACCACCTAGCTGCCCCTAAATAACAGTTATGTATAAAACAAGTAGAAAAAAAAATTGAAGGGGGGTGGGCACTTGAACTGAATCTGGAAGGAAGCCAGGGATTCTGGGCCAACACCTTGTGGTGCCAATCCATTTTACAGAAGAGGAAACAGATGCCTCGATTCTGTAGGCTCATAGAATCTCTTCAGGTCAGCGTTAGGTGACCCGAAAAGCTTGCCCAGGAAGCCAGAGCTGACCAGAGCCAAGGGCTATTTCATAGCATTGCTGGGGATCTTACCTGTAGGAAAGGATGTAACCCATGGCCTTGTTGCTCAGCCTGATGAGAAAGCAGCCAACGGGTTTGTCTGTAAGCAGTTCTTCAGCTTGCCTGGAGGATGGAAATGCCTTTGAACCTGAAGCTCTGACCACCCCCTCCTCACCTGCAACCTACTCAGGGACCATTCTCCTTTGTTATTCAAGCCTTCTAGGATTTCAAAACATCCTTTACTTATGTTTTTTATTGAGCCACTCACTCTGATGAATAACTGATAATGTCCAGCTACCTTAAGAGGATTGTTGATTACTCTCAGTTTTCTCAGAGATGCCCACCATGAATTATGTTGATGTAGATGTCCATGTCCCAAGACCCCATTTCTGGTGCTCTGCTTTGAGCTCTTTCTCTAGCAATAGGGATGAGGGGGCCATATTTTCTCGTGCCATTCCTCATAGAACAAAATGATGTACTAGGGAGACATAGGGCTGAGGACTTCACCTTGGCCAGAATTAGAGGGTAGATCTATCACTGCAGTTTGGGGCCATGGGTGATGCCTAGGTTAATCTGTCTGCTCGGTATATGATCAGAAGCCCAGGTCAGTTTATAACTGGGTTCAGGGGTGGCTGGAGCTGGAGATGGGGGCGGGAGGTGGGGAACGCTGGAGACTTTTAACAGCACAAAACTTGGGGAGTCAAGGACCAAAGCCAGCTCATGGGTTGTTTACTCTAAGCCAGTGGTCTTGAAGTTAGTTTCATATTTGTTTGATTTTATAGCCCACATCCATTTGCTTCACTACCACCTCAATTTTGTTTCTCTTCACAAAGATTTTAAAAATTGATTACATTAACTGTACAAATGGACAAAGTAGGGCATAATATGCCTAGGCAGGTGGGAGGCTGTAAATAGATCCTGTAGGCAGGTATATGCTGGTAAGTGTTTAACAACTGGTTCTCCAGGGGAAAAAAATGCAAGCAGGACACACTTTTAAGTTTAATTTGCACTGTTAATATTTTCTCCATCTTTTCTTTTTCTTTGTGAGGGAATTAGGGTTAAGTGACTTGCCCAAGGTCCCACAGCTAGGAAGAGGCAAGTGTCTGAGGCTGGATTTGAACTCAGCTCCTCCTGACTCCAAGGCCGGTGCTCTATCCACTGTGCCATCTAGCTGCCCCTCCATCTTTTCTTAAGTCTTAAGTCAAGCCCTGATCTGTCTCATTTGCCAATTTCTGAGTTGGAAACAGTCACACTGAAAATTTAACAACTGGTCATAGGCCCGTGGGTTGGGGGTTTTAGAGAGCTGTTCTAATATGGCGCTAACAAGTTACCAAGGCTCCAGTTAAAGGCTGAGCAGGGAGATATGGAATCGCTGCAATTGATGGGATTTCTGCGCAATGCTCCTTCACGGACCCCACACAATCTCTTCCCCATCTTTGATGCTCCCATCCTTCCTGACCCAAAGCATTTGCAGCTGTACCTATATAATGCCAAATATTTGCATGAACAGTGAAATATTCTTGTCATCTTCCAGCTTTGGAAATTGTGTCAAATAGTGGGGTAGAGTGGACAGAGCACTGGTTTTGGTGCCCGAGGCCCGGATTCCCATTCTGGTTCTGTCTGTCATTTGCCTATTTTGGGCAAGTCACTTGACCTCCCTAGGCCTCAGTCTCTTCCTCTCTAAAATGGGGAGGAGGTTGGCCTAGCTGATCTCTGAGATCCCTTATAGCTTTAGCTCTGTAATACTATCGACAACATCAGTCGATTGACTGATTCTTTTGTTTATTCCTTCATCTATCCATCCATCCATTCGGTACCTTCCTATATTAGGTACTCTCTATAGTGCTGGGGATTCACTTCACCTGGTGGTTGGGATGTCATTGACCCATCGAAAAGCCAGATCACAATCTAGAACCAAAGGGCTCCCAGATTTGTGTTATGGAGCCCTTTGGCACTCTGGCAAAACCTACAAAATTGTTCCTAAAATGAAGTTTTTTTAATTTATCAAATAAAATACATAGGACAAAGGAAATCAATTACTTTGAAATATCTCTATTAACACATATTTTTAAAAGTTCATAGACCCCAGGTTAAGAACCTATTTTTTTCTAGATCAACTCCCTAATTTCACAAATGAGGAAACTGAGGCCCAGAGATAAGTTATTTGTCCCAGATCACACAGCTAGTAAATGGCCAAGCCAGGATTTGAACCCCAGTCCTTTGACCCCAAATCTAGCCCTCCCCCCTCTTTTGGGTAGGAACAGCAGCTCAGAGAGGGGCTCTGCCTTGTGGCAGCTGGCTTGTGTGAAAGCGCCTACTCACTCCTCTATTTTAGCAATCCTTTTCAAACACAAACACCAACACTTTTACCTCCCTTCGGTTTGTCCACAGGGTGATCAATAATATTAATGTCCTTTTCCCACCTTCCCCAAATCTCTGCTTGTTTTAAACAAAGCAAGGGGCAATGTGTAGGATCCAGGGGCCTTTAGAAATCATCTACCCTGCCCCCATTTTACAGATAGAGAAACAGAGACCCAGAGAAGGGACTTCCCTAAGAACACGAGTGAGTAGCTGAGCTAGGATTCTAACCTAGAGCGTCTGCGAACAAATCCGTTGCTCTCCCCCTCACCTCTCCCAAACCACCTGCCCAATCCTTCAGACCCTACACATCTCTAACAATATAAATAATAAATGATATATTGCGATAATAATACAATATAGTGTAATAATAATAAATAATATATTGTGCAATATGAGCAATATTGTACAATATAAATAAGGCAACAACACATTTATTTCATCAGACGACTCAAAAGCCACCTTGGTCACCAGCCTGCCACCCCCTGTGGTCCAGAGAACATGTAACCCCCCCAAACAAGCCCATTTCCCATACTAGCCAGAAGAGTCAAGCTTACTTTCTTGTAATGAATCCATGGAACCACTCGGGTAAAGTGCCATTTTGTAATATGAGGGGTGCCTGTGTCTCCATAAACCACCTGATAGCAATGTCTTTGAGCATGCCCATGGCTGGGCTTTCTCTGTCCGTGGGGATCACCCCTTTTTCTGGCTCTGAAGGCCTTGTCCTGTCCTCCATGCAGTCGTTAGGTGCCTTGGAATATCTAAAGGGGGATGGTCGATGAGAGAGAATCCCCAATTCTATTTTTCAGTCCCCGTTACCAAGCTCTCTATATCCTGGAGGAGAGCTCATTTGCTTAATCCTGACCTCCTTTCCGGCTAATTGGCAGAGAACAGAGGCCCTTATTGATAGCCAGACCATAGATGGGTTTCCATTCAGATGACAGGCAGAGGCTGGAAAAGTCATGTCAGGTGGAGGAATTAGGTAATTTCAGAGAGATAGACTCTTTTGTCACTTCTCATTGAGGCTAAATTTATGAGAGGAAATATTGTCTATTAGAAGAGCAGAAAACCTAGGTTGGAGTCTCAGCTGATACTTATGAGGTATACCCCTCCTGGTCAAGTCATTTTACTTCTCTAGGCCTCTGTTTCCTCATCTGTACAATGGAGACAGTAACTCTTAATAAAAAAAAGGAAACTTTATCTATGAAAAATTGTTATCTTTTGTTTTATATCACCTTCACCCTCCACCCAGAGAACCATTCCTTATAATCAAGAATATGAAAGAAAGAGAAAAAAATAACATTTTAGCAAAATTAAGAAATGCATCAACCAGGCTTGACAATTCTGCATCTCCAAGTCTCCAAAAGTTAAGTCAAGGAGGAGTGAAGCATAAGGACAGGTGGAAAGACCAAAAAAAAAAAACAAAAAACTAATTATAATCAGACAATGGGACACTAGGTGGCGCCATAGTGTACTGAGTGGATAGAGAGATGGCTTGGAATCAGGAAGACTCTTCCTCCTGCGTTCAAATGTAACCTCAGATACTTACTAGTTGTATGACCCTGGGCAAGTCACTTAACCCTGTTTGCCTCAGTTCCCTCATCCGTAAAATGAGCTGGAGAAGGAAACAACACAAAAAGAGGTGTTGGCCACTTGGGAATCACAGCAAGATCAAGAATTTGACTATAACCAGAAAAACAGCAAACTATGCTGGTCCTCCAATCTTTGCTTTTGAAGACCTCTAATGAGGTGGAACCCACCCCCTCTTCAGTCAATCCATCTCATTTAGGGATGTATTTGCTGTTTTCCCCAATGGAATGTAAGCTCCTTGCCTCAGTGATCTGGTTATGGTAGCAAGCAGAACCAGGAGAACAATTAGTACAGTAATAACAACATTATTACTATTTGGGGGGGGTGAGTGACTTGCCCAGGGTCGCATAGCTAGTAAGTGATCGAATTTGAACTCAGGCCCTCCTGACTCCAGGGCTGGTGCTTTATTCACTGTGACACCTAGCTGCCCTAACAACATTATAAAGAGAAATAACTTTGAAACATTCAACAACTCTGATCAATGAAATGACTAACATAAATTCCAGAAGACTGATGAAAAAGCATGTTACCACCCTCCTCACAGAAGGGGAACAGATTTGGTACAGAATGATATATAGATGAAGATACATAGATATAATTTACATATTTTATATGTATCTATATATTAGACATGATCAAT